TTGAGATATCTGACCCCACTATAATTTCCTATCCCGTGACTGATTGCATTTTCTTTTTCTTGAGAGCTTTTACATCTTTCTCCATGTCCAGTTATGTGCCTTATGGTTATTTCTTGCTACATTTTGCATGGTATATGGTAGGACCTTTTGCTATGAAGACTCAAGTCTTATACATCTAAAAGAAAAAACTCTTGATTCTCTCTCTCTCTCTCTCTCTCTCTCTCTCACACACACACACACACACACACACACAAGAAACCATCCTGACTTTATAGTTCAACTCTTTAAATATAAGATAGCAAAATTTTAAAAATTATTTTCCACAATTATTTCCCTTTTGGAGTCATTTGTTCCTGTTTCATGGATCCAGTTTCTTCTATCTCTAAGAATATTCTCTCCCCCTCCATCCCAATTGTATAAATACAACACATCCTTCAAGTTTTGATTCAAATCAGTCCAACTATCTCCACCAGACAGGAATTCTATTCCATAATTATGTTTCACACATCTAATATGTGATATTAAAAATTGCATGGGTTCCTATTGAGGAATCGGTCTTATTTCCCCAATTATACCATAAACTTCTCAACAGCATTGTTCATTTACCATTTACTTGTTCTCTATCAGTCACAGTGCCTTGTTTAGAATTATGAATAGTATAAATGAAAAACAAGTGGTTGTTGATTTGACTTAAATAACAAGCCATCCTAATACCACCAAGCCAGGCTATCATTTTCAGGGTGCTTTAAAAAGTCACAAGAACATAGGTATTTGTCAAATAATGTGAGTGTATAAGTTACAGATTTTCATAGATTTTCCTATCTTTCACCATACTTCTACTCACGCCTAATTCAATAGCAGTATTCTTTTCTTGACTCTTCCTTATAGCTCTCAACTTAAAATTTTCCTTTTCTCACTCATATTTCATTAGTTTGGGATGTATTTAATTCAAAGTTTTGATAAACATATGCCTCCATTGACAGGAACTGAAGGGCTCAGGTCTTCCAGAGAGGAACTTGTTGTTGAGCTTTTAAATCCTGCCAAGGAATGAAGGATATTAGACTATCTTGCCAGTGAAGTGGAAAGCAGGCAAGAAAACATCTGTCACACCCTGTTCTTTGTATCTGAAGAAAGGTCTTTGGCAGAAATGGATTTATGCTCTTCATCTCTCTTGGGTCCACTTGAAATCAAGAAAAGCCCACCGACATGGTCAGTGCACAATCTTTGATCTTAAAATAGAACATAAGCTGAAGCCCCACCATTTCAGCCTCATTAGAACCCCCTTCACTGAATTTCCCTGGCCATGAGTCCTCCATGGGCCAACAGATCTCTACTACACCCAGAAATCTTGCCAATTCTATCTGTAAGATGAATTCCTGCTTCCCTCCCCACTTCCAGTCAACAACTGGGGCTACCAATATCCAGCCATGGCCTTGCCCCATCTCTTCCCCATCACTCCTATAATCATCACACTTTGGAGGAATCTAAGATATGTTCTTGGAGAAGGTGTCATTGTCCCATTGACTTGGTATGACTCACTCCTGCCACAACATGAGTCTTCTTATAATAGTAGAGTCTGGGGAAATTTGAAAATCCTACTTGAAGGGTAACCTCTAAGTTGAGTTAACATTAGTAACAGGAAAGAATACTTGTATTTCTGGGTGATCATCCTCCAGGGACCAGCATCATGTTACAGCCACCATAATCACAAACATGAAGGAAAACTTCACTGGTCACTGTCAAAGGGGGAATGAGGACTTTCTGTGACTAGGGCTTGAGAAAGTGCCATAGGAAATGCAGCTGAAATGCTCTATGAAAACTACAAGGCAAACCAAAATCTCAACCTGTCAGCTAGATGCAGGTTGCATCTGTATATATAAAGTCGAAATGAATCAATTCATTTGAATTGACTTCATGGTAAATTTAATGATTCGAATGTTTTGCCTGATATTGGTTTGTTTCAGATCAACATAGAAGTCTGAATTTTTTGTTTCTTCTGTGGATATCCCCTAGTTGAGTACTGAATAAAGGCAAATCTCAGTCTAGACTGATGGTAAGAATAAACAAAGCTGTACCAAATCCCTTTTATTTGCAATTTTCCCCCCTTTACTGATTGATTTTAACATTGAGTAACCTAGGTCACAGCCCGCCTGAATATATTTGTCTAACTCCCGCCCTCATTCCTAGTTTATTAGACGTGCTAGGTACCATCAGTCAGCCTGGATGGAGAGGACTGATTCCTCCTTGTTTTAGGAAATGCTGTCAATTTTTTGGAGACAACGGCTTGACCTTGAAGGTGCTTTTTACCAAGCAGGGTGTCCTCATTCATATGTCTCCTTAGCTAGCTCTTCGGGACTAACAGGACCACAATCTTCATTCTCCAACAGTCAAGTCAGCAGGCAGCACTGTGGACCAAGCCCTCTCAGGCCTCTCTCCTCGCTCTTACCCATGTCCTTCTCTCCTATCTTCTTCTGTGTGTGGCTGTATTTTCCTCAAGTAGGTTTTTATATACCATTGGTCCTACCATTTAGAATCTAGAATGGCATTGAAAAACTTTCTTCTATAGGTGTTTCCTTGTCTCCCTCTCTCTTAAGAAGCTGAACTTCAGAGTAGCTCAAGAGGAATGAGCAGATCCATTAGTGGCATGGAGACGAGAATGTCCAGGTGATAGTTTAAGGAACTCGTTCCAAAGAGAGCCTTATGGAGATCAATTATCAAAAATTAATAGTACAGTTGACCCCTGAACAATGTGAACCCACCCCTCAATTGAAAAATCCCCTTATAATTTATAATTTGGATACAGTTGGCTCCTGTATCCATGGTGTCCATATTTGTGGTTTCAACCAACCACACATGTCAGTTTGTTGAATCTGCAAATATGGGACCTGTAGATTGAAAAAATATCCATGCATAAGTGGACCCACACAGTTTAAAAATGTGTTATTCAAGGGTTGACTGTGTTTTATGCCAAAATGCACTAGATGCACCCAGAAAATGACTGCCCAGGCTTGATCACAAAGACGATTCCAGTTTGGGGAAAGATTTCAATATGTCTCAATGAGTTCTCTCTAAATATCCACCCTCCCCTCAAGAAAAAAATAAAACACAACAGTGACTTCCTACTCTTTCTAAGCAAGTGACAGAATTTATAGTCAACCACCATGGAACTGGGCCTTCTTCACATCAAATAATCCCAATGCTATCCTCTGCCTAGACCTGCCATTTCCAAACCTCACATGAACAGTAGTAATAATCCCTGATGTCAGATAATTTGTGCAACATTTCCTTCAATAGACTAAAGCAATAGGTTGACAAGCTTTCATAGAAAGATGTTTATTTAAAAAATGACAAATGAAAAGGCCCCACCCCTTCCAATATTTGCAGAAAACAGAGAAAAGCTGGGTATAAGAAAAAAAAAAAATGGTCTGTCTCAACCCAAGAATATAATAACACTGCCTCTCTTTCCTTGTTTTAGGGAATGCTGTCGATTTTTTGGAGACAATGGCTTGACTTTGAAGGTGTTTTTTACCAAGGCAGCCCCCTTTGGTGTTCTTTGGACACTCACAAACTACCTGTACTTACATGCAATAAAGAAAATAAACACTACGGATGTCTCCGTGTTGTTCTGCTGCAACAAAGCTTTTGTGTTCTTGCTCTCATGGATCGTTCTCAGGGACAGGTTCATGGGAGTGAGGGTAAGTTCCTTATTATCTGTCTTCCTCCCTCACTCAGTCATGTCAACCTAAACCTGCCCATTGGCTTGCTTGACTCCATGTGCTGGACCATAAGCATAAGCTGCTGACCACTTTCCTTCTGATTTGCAGCAGAAAAGGAGCCCAGCAGAGGGCCCAGTTCTTGGTGTGCCTTGCAAACCTTCTTGCTTGCAAACCATACAAGACAACATTCATTTAAAGCACCTTTCATTTCAAGCGTTTCAACAAGCATTCCCTAAAGTATGTGCCAGTTGGGGACCCGACCAGGGAATGGCCATGTGCTCCCCCCTCTGTGTGCTCACCCCTGTCTCATGGGCAGCAGTGCCCTGAAGCCTGGAGCTCTCTGCTAACACTGTCACTTTCTCCTTAGGATGTATGTGAAAGTCAGAGGATCCCGCATCCACATGTATATGCAGTCTTGGTAGGCTCTTTGGCTTCGTACACATGGTCCAGACAAAGTAAGCCAGACACACGTCTGCTAAATCCAAATTCTGGAGTGTCATTTTCCTACATTTTCATTTCCTTCTCAACCCAAATGAAGGGGGAGGGAAATAATACGCCTTGAATTACCTCTTGTTACAACAGAGACTTTGTAAATCACATTAAAACCTAGTCAAAATTTTAGCCAGTCAAACTTCATAACAACTGTATGAAATTGGGTGGATGTACTATCAAATATCAGCTAAATTATTGAGGGACTTGCCCTGAATAAAAGAACAGGTGACTTTTAGCGTTGACAGAATCCTAGTGGCTTTGGTTTGCCTCCCTCTGGTGGCCAATGGCTGCTACTGCTCCCCCCATCACCTTGCCGCAAACAGGGTTTACAAAGCAGTGATTGAGCCAAACAGCTGGTTCTCTTGTAGCCAGAGTGCATCACTCACTCCTTCCTGCACCCTCAGACCAGGTAGGCTGGCCATCACACTAAGAGCCATTTTATGGACAGTCCCAAAAGAGCGAAACATGCTGGCAACCAGCAAGAGGCAGACTCAAGACCCCCTACTTGTCATTGTCCTGGGAACAGTGATATCACCCTAATGGTGGAGTCACGCCCACCTAGTTATTCAAACAGCAGTGGGGACATGAGTCAACTGCTGAGTCGTATTTTTAGCTTTCAGTAAGGGGAAAATTTGTTTTGAGGCTTAGTGTTAATTTTGGAATAAAAACTCACTCACTGTGCTACCACCCAGAAAAGCTTTCAGCAAATAAATGATACAATACTTCTCCACAAAAAATGTAGATACTCCCAGCAGTCACCTTTCCAACAGCCTCCCTGAGGAGACACTGGCCTTGGATGATCTGGGGCCTGCTGTGACTTTATTTTGACACAAAGAGCCAAAGGAATTCATGGGATTTTTGGCACGATTCTGATGTCCAAAGCAGATTCCAAATGAGACTTTGCTACAGAGAAGAGATGCTTCAAGGTTATTTCTGCATTGAAGCAGAAGAAAACAAATGTTTGCAGGTTAAGAGAAGGAGATACGAAAATACCTGAAGTCCTTCTAGGTCTGTAGGGAACAGTGTGGATCATAAAGATTTTTTTTATTGCTACACATGGATAAGACTTTTCTTCCTAACAGGTCTGAGCTGTGATGTGGTCTCGCCATCCTAACCTCCTATCTGTTGGTTCAGGTACAGCAGTCAGCACAGACCAGAATTTTGTTAGAAGTCCTCAGCACTAGGCCAGCCTTGAAACCAAAGACCAGTGAGCTGGTGTTAGTGGTGGAATTGTGTCATCTGTGCAGCTGTGGGTCTCTTTAATACCCATCACTCTTCTCAGAAGTATGTGACCTGTTATCTAGGAGCTTCCCAGTCCAGATTATGGTGAATTTCCCTCCTCTCATCTGCAAGAGTTCAAAGAGCATGGGAAATCTGAGTCCCAGCAGCTTTCAGTCCCTGAAAGATTCTGCTTGATAAACATACATCTTGAACTTAAAGCCCCATCAAACTGATGCAAAGCTAGTCTTAGTCTTCTCCCAGCTTGTTGCCGGGTAGTTTCCAAAGATTGAAGGGAAGTGATATGGTTCCCCTTTCTGGAGGGCTGAGGGTTCAAGCTGGAGAGTAAAACACATAAAAAACACCACAAGTCTCAGCATTATGTTTGGAGAACAGATTGTACAGCGAACCTATTAAGATAATTACTCAAATCACAAGGCCTGGGGTTCCTGGTTCAGGTCAGGCAGGCAAAGCAGAAAGTAAATGTATCTTTTGATACTGGGGAGATATCAGTCATCCCATGTGGCATCGGAGGTAACTGAAAGGAGCCTAAGCTTCTCCTGTGTCACCTTTGGCTCTGCTAAGAATCCTGAGCCTGGAGAGACAGAGGCACATCTGTGCACCAGCCAGCATGCAGTGAGGGCACCATGTTCTAGTCAAAAGGCACGTGACTAGGATTTAGACTTGCACCCACTCTTACAAGCTATTGGGACTGCCTATGAGTTAGGCCTATGAGTTACCTCATTTTAAAATAGAGTATTAGTACTCATCTTACAGAACAGTGTGAGAATAAAATAAGATGATGCAAGCTTGGCACATAAAACACAAAAAATGTTAACTCTTAGCCAGAGGGGCTTGATGGACCAACCCAGGTCAGTGTGGCTGACAGTGTCAGAAACTGACAAACATTTAGAGAGGCCATTTTGTGTCACACAGCAGCAGCAGAATAAGAGCAAGTAGAACTCTGGGAGGATGAAGTAGGGTCCCTCCTAAAACGCAAGCCCACCCAGCGGTGACCAGCAGGTGGATGAAGGAAGGGTTGATCGGGCGATGCCATGCCCAGCCCATGCCCAAATGTAAGGTGAGATTTGCTGATTATTCAGCCACTCTCCACAACCAGTTAGGGCTTTCTAACTGGGAGGGACTGACCATGGAGCAAGAAGGCAAATGATCATCCCAGAGGGCCCTCGAGCCCCAGCAGCACATTCCCCTGGGGACCCATGCTTTTTCCAAAACCAGTTCCGATGGAAGTCTGGTTGATACTTCCAATCATTACAGTGCTCTCAGTGTTCCCCAGGCCCCCTCCTCCCTGAGTTACTCCACCTCTGATCCTGCTTCCTTAGTGAGTGAGAAGCTGTCCCATCACCCAAGCACAGTGCAGGGAAGAACGCAGAACACACAGCATGGGGGAGCACAGCTGGAGTTTACAGCCCAGATCCCTTTCCCATCCCTCATATATGAGCTTCAAAGAGAAGATCTCCAAACCCTAATATCTGAGTCAACAAAACAGTACCAGAGTCCAAGGGAAAGTGTTGGGAGAAGTATACTTGAAAATTACTCTGTTCTTGACCTGTTTTGAAAAGCCCCAAACTATACAGATGTAAAATGCACCACAAACAGTGTTCTAGCAAAGGGTGCGTGGTTCATGCTTGTTGACGAGAACAGGGTTCAGTGCCAGGATTGCACTGGGATGCTGCCCCTCTCCTCCTCCTTCATGCTCCACCCGACTTGATTGGGAATGATGTGGTCTTGTAAGGGGGTGGGAGGAGACCCAAAATTGGAGTGGGTTTCTAGAGCTCTGAATCCAGAGGCCCAGGGACCTGAGAAGTTATAACAGTGAGTGAGGCCACCATTGAGGCGAGCAGGCTACTGTTGAACCTCTCAGTGTCTCCCACATCTGTGTTTCTTCCTCATCTCCAGTCAAAGTAAAAACAGTCCTCTCTACCATCAGCTGCTTGGCCTCAAGGTCGCTGTGACCCACCCGTCTGGATCCCCAAATCCTTGTCTTAGGGTTAGAAGAGTGGGACATATGGAGATGAGGCATTAGGAAAACATAAGAGAAGAAAGGCCTGGGGAAATTCACCTGCCTATTTCATACTCAGACTATCCCCCTGGAATGTGAAGACCTGGAAGGTGAGGGACATGTGAAATCTTAGAGTATATGCCTTCTGTCGAGTTCTTCACACAGGAATTAAGCAGGGAAGCACTTCTAAATGTAAGCCAAGAAACCCAGAGATGTTCTGGAGTCAAATGTAAAATATGCACCTTTTTTTAATAGAACTGTTATCTCCAAAGGAACGTCAGGTTTGAGAAGGTCTCTCAGACTCTGCTCATCCTCACACACACACCCCTTAAGGGCTGCTTTACTCTGCTGCTAGAGGTGATGAGGATGAGGCAGAGCTCCCAGCTGATGCGCTAGTACTTTGATCTAGCCTCAGACTCGGCTATGGTCTCAGGGCAGCTGCAGTCCAGACAGTGATGACCCCCAGTCAATTATTCCTGTAATATCTAGCTGGGACCCCCAAGAGGAGACTGGAGGTTTTAGCGAGGGCATCACTATTCCCTGAAGCCACCTGTCACAATGAACTCATGGGACAGGGCTCCTCAAATGCTCACTAGCAAACTGTTTCTTATGCCTCCAGTCCCTTCCCTTGGTGCCTCAGCACAGCTCATCTCAGGAAGAACACATGAGCTGTTATATTATTTAATCAATAGAGAAGAGAGAGAAGATATCAGAAATCTACATTGTAAGTCTTCAGGACAAAATAATCCTTTGTTCTGCTTTTCTTCCCCAAAATTCAGCCCTAAGTTTGAAAAAAGCCAAGCACCTTCAGAGATGCCCCAAATCACCTGAACTTGAACTACTCTTCCCCTTCCTCTCTCCCTCCTTCTTTTTCTCCCTCCCTTATTTTTCTAGTTATTTTTCTGTTGGCCTAATGCCTTGCCAGGTTGAACTGTTCCAAGCAGCATCTTTGCATTATGTGAGTCTTCTGGAGCAGAAACCAGCCCTTTCCCCTGCTTGCTTTTCTTGTCCTCTTGGAGGAAAAATAATTCACTTATTGTCCTGCTATCTCTGTTTCTTCTCTTAATGAACTTTTGTGCAGAGTACATGGAGTATTTGAATATAAAGTATATGCAAAATGTGATGCAGAATGATGCAGCAGACTGAAAGTGAATTACTAAACCAGAAAAAACAAGTAAATAGATGAAGGCCTGGCTCTTTTCCAGTCAATGGTGTTCGCCTGCTCTCTCAAGAGCCTCTGTGTTACAGGCGATCTATTGTTATAAGAAAATATTGCATGAAGAATTCACTAGAAGCATGTAACTCAAACTGTGTGAACTCAACCACATTACCTTTCACTAACCTAAAATTTTGCATTTAAACCATGAAGGAAATCTCAATTCAAATCTTAGAGTTGGCAATGCTTATATGAGTCATACTTTCCTGCATATATATACAACACTAGCTTTGCAATCCTAGAGACCTGAAAAATGTGTCCCTATTCTGCCACACACCAGCTCTGTGACTTTGGGAAAGTTTCTTACCTTCTCTGAGCCTATGTTTTCATGTCTGTTAAAATGAAATGAATGATATCTACCTATTTTGAGCAATAAATGAGAAAACACATAGGAAACACTTAGCCCATGACAGCTCAGAAAATATTAGCCACTTGATATTGTTATTGATAGCCAAGGTTGATTTGGAATGATCCATAAAAAGGGGTAAAATTTTATGGAAAGCCAGCCATTGAAACATGTATAGCACCCATATGTCCTGACTTCCCACATTCTACCTACCTCATCCCCTCCCCCATTCCTACCCAGAGACATTATTGTAACTCCATGACCACCTCAGATTATAACTTGTACTTATTCTCTGTACTAATTTAGTTGTCTTTTGGGAATTGTTATCCTGAGTTCTTTATCTCCTGCATACTCTTGAAAATTTTACTTTGCACTGTAGACTCCATACCTCGCCCTGGAGCTTCCATTGCACCTGGACAATAACTGGATCAAGGGGGGCATGGTGGGGACCTGCAACAGCCAAGAAAAGAAAAGGAGCTAGGACACTATGACCCTGAATGGCTGTTGACACAGACTCTGTCAGAAGTGACACACATTCTGTCCCAACTGCTGGGATGTAACATGGGACCAAGATCTGCAGTCCTTACTGCACCTCTCTGTTGAGATACAAAATACATAGAAGCAAGATCACATGAGGTACTTTCAGAATGCTGAGAAAGAGCTAAGAGAGAATTTCTAGGTACTGTTCAGGTATTTTCTATCAGTCATTGTTTTGACTAAATAACCCATCCTTGGGAGTATCCAGGAATCATGGCATGACTCCCTTCCTGGCCACGATTTCAGGTTATTCCCTTGTGTTAAGCTTTGCCAGGAATCCCCTTGTAAGCACCAACAAAAATTTAGACAAGGGAGCAACGTTTCCTTTTCAGTCTTCCTTTGGAAAACAAATAGTAGACACCTCTCTGCTCACATTGTTGAACTCTCAAGATCACTTCTACCTCATTAGCACTTAGGTGGCCCATCCAATTCCCCGCCACTATCCTGACCACCATTTTCTTCCTTCAATCCAGATCGTGGCCGCCATCCTCGCCATTGCTGGGATCGTGATGATGACCTATGCGGATGGCTTCCACAGCCACTCAGTCATCGGAATAGCACTGGTGGTGGGCTCTGCATCCATGTCTGCCCTTTACAAGGTAGGCACATGGGGAGCAAGCTCTCTGAGCTTCCATTTATAGTAGCGTGACTGGCCCATTACTTTTGTTGGTGCCTGTGGTTTAAGACAAATATTATTTTCAATGTGCACTACACAAACTGAGACTGGCAATGCTAAGACAAGCAACCACCCTTCACTTTTTAGACCTTTCCATCAAAGGCCATGCATCTGCATCATTTAAGATAAAAATGGGAGAAACAAAGGATAGATGGAGTCAGGTTTGTGACTGTTTGGCAGGGCTTGGAGAAGAATGGCTCAGTGTTTAGTCAGCTACATTTGAATATCTGGTATAACTTTGCCATTTAAATCTTTTACCAGATGGTTTTTGCAGCCACCAGTACTCAACACGAATCCATATGCATTGCCCATAGACTGAATAAACAAAAGCACAACTACTATAATATGGAACTTTTTAAATATTTTTGACAAAATGTTGGGAACCATTAGAAAGCATGTCCCAACTGCAGGTCTAAATAAAACAAGTCTTTACCCCTATACTCTAACCCTTTGCTCTGTCTGCTCCCCTATTGCATCATGCCTCCTGCCTGCTCTCTCCCCTTACCTGCTCTCCTTTTTGCTCTACTTATCTTTAGGTCCACAATAGAGAATGTAAATATTTTCTGATATCCAAGCTGGAAAAGTGACCTGGAAGATCCAATGAGAAATAAGATTTTAGCTTTGAGACTTATTGACCCTTACACGGTTCAGAGAGAAAATTAAGTACTATAGAAAGTGCTAAGAGAAGACATTTTTTCCAGCTGCTGAGCAGCACATTTTATGGTTTTAGACAGTGAAATATGTATCTACTACATCAGCTCACTGTCCAACTGCCCACAGAGAAACACACACACATTGTTTTCTTTCTCTGAAACACATCTCACCACATGGGTGAGCACCATTTTGAGATTTCAAAGCCACTATCCAAATACAAAATATATCAAAAATCCACACCCTGGTATATTCGGTTAGCTGTGTGCTAATGGGAAGCAAAGAGCATATAGAAACACAAGCCACATTAACACAAATTTTCTGATTGGGATTTCCTTTTCCATCCCTTCGACCACCTGATCTTTATCCAGAGCTGTTAGTAGATGGAAGGCTGAAAGCAATTCATTTCCCTTTCCATGTGTCCTCTACATATGTCCAGAAATACCTGAAAGGGTGGTGGAATGGTTGAAAAGGAAAAAGGAGGGACAAAAATGCAGAGATTCAAATTGGACCGCAGCTGTTGACAGTCCACTATCTATGGGCGCCTGCTGCCTCTGTCAATTCAGTGTGCCAGCTGCACCAGTCACACTATCTTGCAGGTCTTTCACATGCCTGAAATACCTACAGACAAGGACAGGTGCAAGAAACGAAAGCTGGGTGCACTGTGCCGAAACCCACAACATTTCTAGAATAGAGGTGGTGGGATGGAGCAGAGATGAACTATGAATATGATAATCCCTCTACCTTTGGTTAATAGGAAATATTTCTACAGCCCAAACCTTTTTGCATGGGGGCCAACTATGTGGTACAAAATCAGAGATCAACGCAAGGGATCCCTGAAAGGAATGGTAATGTTGGCAGATATTTCTAAGATTCAGGATACCACATCCTAGCTTCAGGCATCTGGAGGAGGGGGGACCAAATAAACAACATAGACAAATCAAACATAGTGTGAAAACTCTTAAGAACCTTTTTGCAGCTAGAGAGTCACCGCATGGTGATGCAATGGAGATGTGAACAGGTATGGTGAGCATAGGTCAAAATCCAGTAACCACAGGCCTAGTAAGATAGAACTGACCTGTCACGTGGCTGTCAGTCTGGTGGTCCAGCCTCTGCTTGATGATGTGCACTTGGTCCCTTCTGGCTTGTTGGAATCCCTCACGAGCCTTCATGCCTCCCCTCTGCTTTCTTGACAGGTTCTGTTCAAGCTCCTCCTGGGCAGTGCTAAGTTTGGAGAGGCCGCCTTGTTTTTGTCCATTTTGGGTGTGTTTAACATCCTTTTCATCACCTGTATTCCTGTCATCCTCTACTTTACCAAAGTGGAATATTGGAGTTCTTTCGATGACATTCCATGGGGAAACCTTTGTGGATTTTCAGTCCTTTTATTGAGTAAGTGATGATCACCCGTCAGAAGTCCCAGAAAGCAATAGCCAAAGACCAGGATTCCTGTGGCTCAAAGGGAATCTTTGAAAACCCAGTGCCCTGAAAGATAAAAAGTCTATTGTTATCCTTAAATTCCCATTACTGTTCAAGGTTGTTGTATTAAGCAAAGTAAAGTTTTTGTAACGACACTGGATTCTAATCCCAGAACCAAAGGCCAAGCAGTAGTAGCCATGGACATCGCTCTCTGTATAGTGAACTATGTGTTACCAACTACAACTAGCAATAATAATAGCATATTTCTGATATGGTTCATAAATGGTTGGTAAATTAACACAGGTGGTGTCCTTAAAACACTGCCTTACATGTGTCAATAAATATTATCAGTTATCATTATTAATGTTGTTATCATCACCATTACTTGGTATCAGACTGGCCCTAGTCACACAAGCTCCTAGTCAGCCTAGGAGGCACCTCACCCAGTTTCTGTCGGAAAATCACATTTCCTAACACTCCTGTTCATACAGTCATCCCAGAATCACTGCCAACAATTCAGAAAAGCAATGTAGGAGGATGAAGATTATGGCCCCAGGCCTCTTTTCTTCTCATTAGTTACATTTTCCAAATTTCTTTTCCTTCTTCATTGCTCAGGAAAAGGAAAAGTAATCAAGATGTCTGTCTCTAATTGCCAAGGCCTAGAACCCTTGCAGGAACCCTAAGCTCACTTACAGCAAAGAGTAGAGGTAACTTGTGTGACTTCAGGTTAAATGGAGAAGCTGGGGTCAGACAGACCAGGGAGGACATAAAGGTCATGAATAACACCCTTTTTCCCCACTCTTTCAGCATTCAATATTGTATTAAATTTTGGAATTGCTGTTACATATCCTACTCTGATGTCTCTTGGAATCGTCCTCAGTGTACCTGTGAATGCAGGTAAACCTCTATGGCTTTCTGCTTGTAAACACAAACATGCATGCATGTACAGACATGTATATTCTTGCTATGCCTGGTACAGAATGCATGTTTGACCTTCTGTCTAGAAAGAAAGCACTTGGGTAAAATGTTTGTTATATATGCAATATTTTCACCATGATGGGTTTATTTTTCACTTACCACACCAAGATATAGAAAATCTAAAACCATCCCATTTGTAACTGGTGTGAAATCAGAGATGAATATCATTAAGGTTAGTAATAAATGTAGAAAAATATATCGCAGGGGAAAAATTTAAGGTTTATAGTCTCTTTATAGGGGTGAGCTACACTGTTTCATGCTGTAAACACATTTACATCATAGCCTGAGCAAAACCTCATTCTCCACCTCCCAGAAGAGAGAGCCTTCTGTTTCCCAATGAGAACTCCCCTGCACATTCAGTTGACAGCTCTTTCAGAGCTTGTTGCCTGCCCCTCACCTTCCTTTTCCTGGCTCATTCTAGTATGCATTTTGGATTCCTCCCTCCCAGTCACCCTATCCCATCCCTGCCCTTCTAGTAAAACCTGTTCTCAGCCAGAGGAGGGTTTGTGAATCACTGCTTTGCATAGCAATCACTCCCTTAAACCTCCCCCCAAAGCCCTCTCCCAAGCCCTTCCCTTTCCAGGCTATTAGAGGACCAGTCTCCCAGGGAATGGCAAACCTTATCCATCCATTCAGTATGGTGTTAATGCTCCTGGAAGCAAAGGCACAGGGCACTCAACAACTTAAATCCTTTGCCATGATTTGGTGTCTCATCCCAGCACCACATCTGCCCACCTGGAGCACAGTTGGACCTGATTCATCACCTCTCTGGGCTTTGGTTTGTCTCCCCTAAAAGTGAAGGTGGTGCCAACTGTCTTTACCATGGTTGATATGAGAACCAAATAAAATAATCTCTGAGACAGCACTTCACAGTGCAGAAAGCTTCTGAGCTCCTGGAGAGCTGGTAAAAAAGGGTCTAGCCTCTCTGTCTTCAGACCCCACAGAGTTCTAGAAAATAACCTATAAACCTACTCTGCCTCTGTCTTATTATGTTTTTACAGTAACACAACATTCTTATTGTCAGACAGCATATTTCCAGTGTCTATTATATGGAAATTTACATTGACCATATCCCCTAACCAGGTGTTTGGGAAACTAATCGAAATCATTTCTTATTACTTACTGCAACATAAGAGGTTGAATAATGTGCCAAAGGAATCTCATTCAATTCTTGGAGAAATAAGAGCCTGGTGTTATCTGATGTGTCACAGGGGAACTATTGCTGGAATTTTAGTCTCTCTGCCTCTGTCTCTCTCTCTCCTCATGTGACTTGCTAATTGACTAACCCCATCTGTTGAATAACATGTTCTGCCAATATTAAAAAATCAAAGTATTTCTGAATTATAGTGGGATAAATGAGGCACTTTACTTCCCAAAAGGACAACTAACAAACTATTTTTCAGGTCTGAATTTTACCCCTCTTACTCCTTCTCTGTCAGCCCTCTAGATGAGGTGAAAGTAGGGGTGCAGGAAGGGGGGGAGACAGGAGGAAAGAATGACAGAGCCAAGCCACAGGCTGGGCAGCAGGACAACCCCATTTCAGGGAGAGGGGCATAGATGTCCAGCAAGTCAGTGTTCCAAAGCTGCACACACCCAAGTCAGCACATCCTGTTTCAGAAAAGATAAGCAATCCGGTTCTCTCTTCTATAGAAGCAGGCTCCAAATCTGCTGTGGTCAGTTTAGTTAAGAAAAGAGACAGTCAAGGAGAAGAGAAAACAAAGCATCCACAAGACTTTGGATCTTTTACTCTGATTTTTGTTAACTAACATGAACCCTGCTTCTCCTTGTTTTCCCTCACCTGCTGTGAGTCGTTTACCCCATGGGCCTTTCACTGTCAGAGATGATGAGATTTTAGAGCCTTGCACTAGGAATGCCCTGCAGCATAACAACAAATTTCTATTTATTATTTTTCTAAAAAGCAGCTCAAGCTTGGTGTTCAAAAGCTATACAAGATACAGCTCAAAGACAGAGCAGGCTCAATTCCAGAACTCTGCAACAAAGTCACAGGAATTTTTTGGTTTCCCAGTACATAGAAAAGTTAATTTTATTCTATACTGTAGCATATTAAATGAACCAAAGCTTATCTAAAAAAACTATATATGGGCCTTAATTCAATATAACAGTGAGACATGAAGTGAGACAGGCTATTGGGAAAATGGCACCAATTGACTTGTTTCATGCAGGGATGCCATGAACCTTCAATTTGCAAAAATTGCAGTGTCTGAAATGCAATAAAATGAGGTATGCATGTACTAGGAAACAATGTTTTTAAATCATAAAAATAAATTATATCATTGTGGAAAATGCAGACTCTACAAAATATATGAAGAAAGTAATATTTTCATGCTTCTGCTACCCAGAGGTAGCCACAATTAAACTCTGTGTGTGTGTGTGTGTGTGTGTGTGTGTGTGTGTGTGTGTGTAGACATAGATGAAGGGCAGTTGGAGATTTTATATGGGAGGGATGTATATATATATATGTGTGTGTGTGTGTGTGTGTACATGTATACACACATGTGTGGTATGTATATAGATGGATATATACATATATGTGTGTATATAAAACTGCCCCTCATGTTTTATCTTTCATGCAAATCAAAGAAAGTGAATGCAATTGCAAGGCCTCATACCAGAGAGATTTTATAAAATTCAGGGTGATTTACTCAAGACAATCTCTGCCTATCTGGAACAAAACAAAACTGAGGGGGATCCTGTGGTTGAGGGAAGCCAGGCTCCTGCCAGACAGAAAGGGATGCTCACAGCTTTGCTCCTAAGAAGGATGCACACCTTTTGCCCTTTGCCCAGGGCATGACTTGCCCCTTAGTAACCCAAGCTCTCTGTCCTGTGCAGTGGTGGATCACTACACCAGTAAGATTGTCTTCAACGGAGTCCGAGTCATTGCCATTATCATCATCGGCTTGGGCTTCCTCCTCCTCCTCCTTCCTGAGGAATGGGACGTCTGGCTGATTAAGCTGCTCACCCGCCTCAAAGTAAGGAAGAAGGAGGAGGCAGCTGAGGGTGGTGCGGATCTGGGTTCAGGACCTCAGAACAAGAACAGAAGAGCTCGCCCTTCCTTTGCCCGCTGATGTCCGCTCTCTAGAACTCTGCGGTGAATGCTCATGTTAAAGATTTGGAGGTCTATTCCTGACAGGGGAACCTCAGTTTGATAAGGTGTACATACCTGTACAGTAGGTAATCTGCGGTAAGTTATATGGTATTTATTGGCATGTCCAATTTGCTTGCACTTTTTTCACATCAGACCTTTCACTTAAGGGTACCAATTCAAGAGGAAAGAGAAAAGAAGAATCTCTCAGCTCTTTTTAAATGAATGTAAAGCAGGTTAAAATTATCCTTGCATAGATTGTTTTGGATGACAGACATTCTTGACAAAGCAGGGCAAATGTTTTGAATCTTAGCAACTGAAAATTACATTGCACACTGTGATTATTTTTCAGCTATGGTAGGTCATATTTTGTTTTATACCAGAGCTGTACTCTTAATTTTAAGGAATTTCACTGAACCAAAAGATAACTGTAAGTTAATTTGGGTGGGTGGGTGGATGGATGGATGGGTGGATGGATGGATGGATGGGATGTGAAGAGGTGAAACTGAAAAGAATAATGGACATCTAAAACCATCTGCTATGACAAATCTGGGGGTGGCAATTGGGGGACAGGCCTGAGCCAGGTAACAGAGGGGGGAAGATTAAGTCCAAGCCCCAAATGGCTTGCTCTTACGTATGTCTCTGTAAGATCATGCAAGAGAAATTACAGTGCCTTCTACAGAATTTTTGTCTTTACTTATGTGAAGCGAGGTGACATTATAAGTCACTGGCGCCGTCTTATAATTTAGATGTAGAAATCTTTAGAAAAAAATAAAATTATATATGTGTGTGTGTGTATGAACAAAAACGACAAAGTGATGACCAGCGTAACAGAACACGGCTGGCAGTGTGCAGCACGCATATGAGGTAGACTATGCAGAAGGTGAACTGCTGGTTGCTTTTACTTCATGACCAAGACTGAACATTATTTACTGAATCTGTAAAACTTTTTATGAAACTTTTAAAGCACCAGGCTGTTTACTTA